AAGCTAAAAATTGTACTCTATTGAAGGTAGCATCTCCATACTGTTCATTCTGATACATTCTCACAATTAATCATTTTTTCCCCGCAGGGGGCACCTGTGAAAGCAGGTGTTTGGAGAGTGGCGTCTCTACGAACCCCGAGCCCCGCAGGGGGCGCCTGCGCCTTAGGTGCCAGGTGCTTGGTGAGTAGCGTCACCACGGACCCGAGCCACATTGGCGACACCACAGACCCTGAGTAAAAAGTGGCTAAAACCCACCCACGTCTGACTGTGCGTGGCGAGCCCGTGTCCGGGGAAAAGGGCATCCTGGTGGTTGAGCCGAGCCCGGGGTAGGTTTGGACCCTTCGGGGCCCCCCCGGGTGAGGCAATACACCACTTCGGACCCCGCTTCTCGTAGACGGGAGTCCTGGTAAGGCCCGGCCAGGATGATTCAGTCTAGTCGCCTTTTCTTCTCCTATCCCCTCTTTCTCTTTTCTCCCCTTCCCTCTCCCTCACTTTCACCTTCTTTGGCGGCTAGAGCCAACCTTGTGTGGCGGCAGATACCCTTATCCTAACCACACTTGGGTATAGCACCTGGGCAAGTGCTAGTAGATGAGCGGTTCCAGCAAAGCCCATTTTGTTATGGGCTGCTGACTACTCCCTAAGTTGGGCTCGATGGTGGGCGGCACACCGCAGGTGCCGAAATCCTTTTCCCATTCATATGGGTACTAAAGCTAAATCTTTCCTTGATCGGGCCCCGAAAAGGGTCCGGACCAAAGAGACAACATCAACGAGCCTTACCTTGCCAGTCATGAATTTTCCCAAATTTATAGTAATGCACTCGGAGAACGAAGATCAACCACTTGCAAAGCTTTCCCCATTCTTGGTCGCAAAGACCCTAGAAACTGTGATAGGAAAATCCTTTAAAGCCAAAAAACTTCCATCTGGCGACCTGCTTGTGGAGGTCACAAATGCTGAGCAAAGCAAAGCACTTCTTGCACTCAACCAAGTAAGAGATTACAAAGTGTCAGTGACTCCACATCGCTCACTGAACAGCACGCAGGGTGTCATCTCTGAAGATGATCTCCTTGGAATATTTACCGACGAGATACTCGAGGGACTTCAAGATCAAGAGGTAGTTGCTGTGCGACGTATCACTATCCGTCGCGACAATGAAGAACGGGACACAAAACACATTGTCCTAACGTTCAACTCGACAACGCTCCCCTCCACTGTTAAAGCCGGGTATCTCAACTGCAAAGTCCGCCCCTACGTCCCCAATTCAAGGCGTTGCTTCCGCTGCCAGCGCTTTGGACATGGGTCACTAACCTGCAGAGGAAAAGCCACTTGTGCAAAATGTGCAAGCACTGACCACCCTTCCGACAACTGTGGCAACAATACCCATCTTTGCGTCAACTGCCGAGGAACACACCAAGCATATTGTCGCAGCTGTCCCCTGTAAAAGAGAGAGAAGGAAATTCTCTCACTAAAGGCCAAAGAAAATATTTCTTACTCAGAAGCACGGAAAAGATATTCTTTTATTTCTCAAGGCTCTTATGCCGAGGCCGCGCGCAGGGGACCGGCGCGGTCGACGGCGTCAACGCGAACGCAGACGTCAACGGACGACCTGCGTCCCCTCCCCCCCCCCCCCCCTCAGTCCCCCTCAACCTCATCTGGAGTGGCACAAACCACTTCAACCCCAAAGCGAAAGGTAGATCCTATCGCTTCGGGGTCCATTCAAGCGCAGGGATCTTCAATCCCTGCGCCATCCAAAACGCAGGTGCCTCAAGGTCGGGGACTTCCTTCTCGTCCCTCTGAAGGCGCCCGAAAACCTGGTGAGCCGTCGGGGTCACAGGCCCTTAGGGATCAGCCAGAGGCGGCCCTTGATGAGCCGATGGACGAGAGCGGGCCCAAGTCCAAGGACGACAGGCCATTCTCAAGCACGGAGTCCTTACCTTCGACTTCCTGTGGTAACACAGATAGGCCGAAGAACACATCTAAAAAGAAAAATGCACCGCGCATCGAAATTGATTTTTAGGTCTTGATGAATGGTCCTTCTTCTAATTCATGCATAATTGCAGCATTCCTGCAGTGGAACTGTCGAGGGTTGCTTCGAAACTACGATGACGTGCACTCTCTGTTAGACCAGCATCACCCTATAGCATTTTGTCTTCAGGAAACACACTTAAACAATAGTCATCCTAATATCCTAAGGCGCTTTCAGGTTTTTCGCAAGGACAGACCTCTTTTGTCGCACAGTTCTGGTGGAGTAGCTATAGTTGTCCAGCCGTCTACCCCATGTATTGAGGTTCCTTTGAATACCACTCTGGAAGCCGTGGCAGTTCGTGTTCTGTTGGACCGTTTAATAACCGTCTGTTCACTTTACATTCCCCCAAGCTATCCTGTATCCCGCGAAGAGCTTGAATCACTTCACGACCAATTACCCCAACCTGCCCTAATTCTCGGTGGCTTCAACGCTCATAATCCTCTTTGGCGTAGTAGAAGACGAGATACACGTGGCTCGATGATAGAGCGTTTTCTCTCCTCAACACCTATATGCTTACTGAACAAAGCAGAGTCTACGTATTTCAGTGCCCCAACTCATTCTTTTACATCTATTGATCTGTCTCTTTGCGATCCGACATCATTTCCTTTGTTTTCCTGGGCTGTCGATCCTAACCCCTATGAGAGCGATCACTTTCCTATCATTCTGAGCCGACTTAATCCACCTGTTACAGTGCCTACACGAACTCCCCGTTGGAAGTTTGAGGAAGCAAACTGGTCTGTCTTCAGCCAAGCAACCCAGCTCGCTTGTACATCGCTTAACAAACTGTCTATCGATGAACTCACCAATTTGCTTAGCGCCCACATCCTCAATGCTGCAATTTTAGCTATCCCTATGACTTCATCTCGCTTACCCCGCCGCCCTAAACCATGGTGGAATGCCGACAGTGAAAAATCAAGAAAAAAGCAGAACAGAGCATGGGGCATATTTAGACGTTACCCGACCGTGACTAATTTCATCAGTTTCAAGCGGATGAAGGCTCATGCGAGATACAGGGTGTCACAAAAGAAAATTTACACGGTCTTTTTTACCGCAGAAATAAACTAGGTATCGCCGAACGCTCATTCTCTTCCCAAAGGTAGAGCTAGAGGTCACAACCAGATGCCAAGGTTTCAGCCCTGTCCAATAAGTTAATCAAAAGCTATTAGTGATTTTCTGAAAATCTCAATGGGAAAATGGAGCCCATTTTCGCCCATTTTCGGTTTCTGGTGCCATAGAGCCCCATGTGTTTGAAAACTCCGTCGGCCGCCATTTTCCCATTGAAATTTTCAGAAAATCACTTATAACTTTTGATTAAGTTATCGGATCGGGCTGAAACTTTGGCATCTGGTTGTGACCTATAGCACTACCTTTGGGCGGAGAATGAGCGTTCGGCGATGCCTAGTTTATTTTTGCGGTAAAAAAGACCGTGTAAATTTTCTTTTGTGACACCCTGTACATCCGCCGCGTCTCACAGCGTCAAAGTTTCCGAGGTTATGCTTCCTCTATTAACAGCACCGCCACCACCAAGGAAGTATGGGATAGAGTACATAAAGCCAATGGGCATTACCGGGCTTACTCAGTACCGCTTCTTTCCGAAAACGGACTGTGCCCTGAGAGCCTAGAAGAACAGGCAGATCTCCTTGGGAAACACTTTGAACGTGTTTCTAGCTCTCAGAATTGTTCATCTGCTTTTCTGAAACACAAGAGACAAGCAGAACTCCAATCCGTGCGGACATCCGGCGGAGCTCGAGAAGCATAAAACTTACCTCTCACACTGAATGAACTGGAACGGGTGCTTCATGAAACTAAACCTACATCTACTGGACCAGATGGAATTCACTACCATATGCTTACTCACCGTCACCCTTCCACACTCGACATAATTTTGTATTTGTTTAATCGCATTTGGCAGGAAAGTACATATCCATCGTCTTGGAGAGTGGCAACCGTCATTTCTTTATTAAAGCCTGGAAAGGATGCATCGTGTGCATCCAGTTACCGCCCAATAGCGCTAACAAGCTGTCTTAGCAAAACTCTGGAGAGAATGCTTAACAAGTGACTTATGTACTTTTTAGAAAAAGAAAATATTTTTGATAGATATCAGTGTGGCTTCCGTTCGTCACGATCTACATTGGACCATCTTGTCCGCTTGGAGTCTACCATCCGTGAGGCCTTCGTAAATAAACAGTACTGCCTCTTTGTCTTTTTCGATTCAGAAAAGGCTTACGACACTGCCTGGCGGCATGGCATCCTACAAGATATGTATAACTATGGCATTCGAGGCAGGATGCTAGCATTCGTAAAGAGCTATTTGGCGATACGTACCTTTCGTGTCAAATTAGGCAGTACCTACTCTCGAGAGTTCTGCCAGGAAAACGGTGTTCCCCAGGGAGGCGTATTGAGTGTCATCCTTTTTATAATAAAAAAAGTGAAAGCCGTTTACAACTCCCTGTAACGCCGAATTAGAGCGCAGCTCTTGAGGAGGAGGAGGGAAGGGTACTGGGGGGGTCAAGTGACCTTGGGGTGGGCCACGTGACCTAGGGGGTTCTCGTGACGATGCTGATGACGTCATCAGTAGCGATGACGATGCGGATACCGATGACGTCATCAGTGATGTCACTGATGACGTCATCAGTGATGATGACAATGACAATGCGGATGCCGGTGACGTCATCAATGATGATGACGATACGGATGCCGGTGACGTCATCAGTGACGTCACTGATAACGTCATTAGCGATGATGACGATGACGATGCGGATGCCGGTGACATCATCAGTGATGATGATGCGGATGCCGGTGACGTCATCAGTGATGATGACGATGACGATGCGGATGCCGGTGACGTCCTCAGTGACGTCACTGATGACGTCATCAGCGATGATGACTGTATCGGTCAGCGAGGCATCCGGTTCAGCGGGTAGGAAGCAAGTGCTTCGTCTTTATTCTCGTCTCTCACTCAGTGTGGCTTTGGCGCTAGTATCAAGACTGTTACATCTCCCTTTCTTTGGACTATGAAAAACCAACAAGAAATACATACGAAAATAAACAAAATACACAAAACACGAAATATAAAAAGCAATAACTCAAAAGCCCGTTAAGCTTGCTGCTGGAAGTTCTGATCGTAGTTTAGCCTTTGGGGTCGCCGCACAGTTCGGGTTGATGTCCGAGCAACACATGGTCTAAGTTCACTAGCCAGATCATCCTCTGTTCTCGCTGTGGAGTTGACTGCAGCTGGGGAGTTGGTCGGAGTTCTCGTTGAAGTAGCGACTGTGGTTGGGATGGCTGGATCACCATGCTGCACTGTTGGGGTCAATGCAGCCGGTGTAGCTTGAATGCTGGTCAGGGCACAGGCTGGGGAATCTTCCAGGTGCTCCTCAAAGTGATCGGAACTCTGCAGGTCTTCATTCGTTGGTCGCAGGTGTTCTCTGTTGCGTCGATATTCCCGGCCATCCTGCGTGACAACCAGTGAAGAACGAGGCGCCACGTTCCTTAACACTTGGCCCTTTGTGACCCACTGTCCTTTGTCCCTCAGACGTACCACGTCACCTGCCCGTAGTGGCTTCAAAAAACATCCTTTAGTGTTATCCTGCGTGTGTTTTCTGGCTGGTTTTGGAAGTGCTGGCGTGAAGTCAGGAAGACGGGACCTAATGCGGCGTCCCATTAGAAGCTCGCTGGGGCACCGGCCATCCTCCAGGGGTGTAGACCTGTAACCAAGCAATCCCAGCCAGAAGTCTTCATTAGCTTCAGCAGTTTTCCACAGTATTCGTTTTACCACTTGCACACCCTTTTCTGCAAGTCCGTTGGAACGCGGAAAATGCGGACTGGACGTGGTGTGCTTAAAATCATACTTCAAAGCGAAACTCTGGAACTGACGTGACGAGAACTGTGGACCGTTGTCGCTGCACACCTCTAGAGGTATCCCGTGTCTTGCAAACATGCTGCTTAATGTCCAAATAATAGTTTCTGATGTTGCCTCTCTGAGCCTCTCTACCTCTGGGAAGTTGGAAAAGGCATCATAGGCAACTAGGTACGTGTTCCCCGCCTGCTCAAAGAGGTCAACACCAACACGCGTCCATGGTAAGCCCGGAACCTCACGCATCATTAGTGGCTCGTTCGGTTGCTTGTACGCAAACTGTTGACAGATTGAGCACCGGTGAATCATTCTCGTGATATCTTCGTTAATGCCGGGCCAGAAAACTAGCTGTCTTGCTCGTGCTTTACACTTATTGATACCAAGATGGCCATCGTGTATCCTCTCGAGTATTCGCTGGCGCATGGTCTCTGGGATGACCACCTTTACGCCCTTAAACAAAACTCCAGATACTTCTGTTAATTCCCCGGCGAAACGTTTGTACTGTCCATGAATAGGGAGGTTTGCTCGTAGACAGTTAATTACGTTCGTGAGGACAGTGTCCCGAGCAGTTTCACGCACGAGCTGAATCTTAGTTGCTTCGCTTACGAGTGTGTGCTGAAGCTCCAATGCATGCACCTCAACATCGGTTAGTTCTGTGCCGCTTGGCTGCCCAGAGGCAAGTGCTCTCGAAAGGACGTCTGGAACCACCAACTCTCTGCCAGGGACGTACGTCAGCTGGAACTCATACTTCATGAGCCTCAAGAAGAAACGCTGCAAGCGCGGTGGCATATCTCCTACACTTTTTTGTGCGATCGAAATCAGAGGCTTATGGTCAGTTTCCGCTATAACTCGCCGTCCGTACACAAAGTGGTGGAATATTTCAAGACCATAAGTGACTCCAAGAGCCTCTTTTTTAATTTGCGAATAGCGTGTTTCCGCACTAGACAAGACTCTTGAAGCGTAGGCCACTGGTTTCCATCCCTCAACATGTCGTTGTAAGAGCGCCGCGCCTATCCCATATTTTGAAGCATCCGAAGATACTTTCGTGGGTTTTGCCAGATCAAAGAGTGCGAGCACTGGGGTTGAAGATATGAGATTTTTCAAATGTTCCCATTCCATTTGGTGTGCGTCAGACCACTCGAACACTGAGCTGTCTTTAATAACTCCGAGCATTAACGTTGTCCTCAAGGACAAGTTAGGCAAAAATTTACCAAAGTAGTTTGTAAATCCCAATAATCTTTGCACTTCTTTCTTACTTACTGGTTGTGGAAAATTGTGAATGCTCTTAACGAGAGCTGGGCTTGGGGAGATACCATTTTCATTAATAATGTCCCCCAAGAACTCAATTTCCTTGCGGGCGAGTTTGCACTTGCTCATGTTGAACGTGAGACCCTCTTGACTGGCTCTCTGCAGTACAGCGCGTAATCTGTCATTGTGCTCGGCCTGTGTTCTACCCCACACCAGGATGTCATCGATGTATACTCGAACTCCGGGTAAACCCTCAAGCATTTGAGACATGGTCTTCTGAAATACTTCTGGTGCAGAAGCTATTCCAAACGGTAGCCGGAGGTACTGGTATCTTCCAAATGGAGTAGCAAATGTGCAGATTCTCGTGGTCTCATCATCTAACGGTATTTGGTGAAACCCGGAATTTGCATCAAGGGTTGAAAACCATCGTGCATCAGAGAGCTCTGCCTCAATGTCTTCCCTTTTGGGAAGTTGGTAATGCTCTCGCTTCACCCACTCGTTTATGTTCCGGGGATCCAGACATACCCTGAGCTGTCCGTCTTTTTTTAGCGCACTAACCAAAGGACTCACGCAGTCAGTTGGCTCATCCACTTTCCGGATAACGTTGGCGGCGGTTAAGCGCTGCAGCTCCCTCTCCAGTGGCTGCCGCAAAGCTTGAGGGACTCGCCGGGCTGCTTGCACCGTTGTCCTGGCTCCTTCCTTCAGCACCATGTGGTATGCCCGTTTCACACAACCTAACCCCTGGAACACCTCGGGGAATTCGGAGGTCACTGCTCTCAAGTTATCGCAGGAAACTGCCGAAACACGATTCACGAGTCCAAGGAGTTCACTGGCCTGGAGACCGAGAATGTGAGCCCGCGACTTTTTTACAATGAAGAACTCGATGAGTTCTTTTGTGTTGTTGCACTCCACAGTCAAGGATGCTTTTCCTGCGTGTGCAATTATGCCGCCACTGTAACTGCGCAAAATTGCCGTGCTCCTTCGCAAATCCGCACTCCTGCCTGCTCGTTTCCACCATGACAGTGGCAACAAGTTTGCTTGGGCTCCAGTATCAATCTTCAGCATGATATCCTTATCAGCTACCTTCGCCGGTATCAGCCACTCTGCTTGATTACTTGCAGAAGTGCGTGCTCCCACCTCCAGAATTTCAAAGTCACTCCCGGCAGCCGCGGCTTGATCGTCGTTTTCGTTAGTTATCGCGTTCACCCGTTGCTTCGGACAGCAAAACGCGAAATGACCTCGGCGATGGCATCTCCTGTATTCTTTTCCTGTTGCTGGACAGCCTGTTCCTTTGTGAATGAAGTTACACTTCTGACAGCGGTCAGGTCTAGGTGGTGCTTCCACTGGCACCGTCGAACGTCTTTTAGTTGTCTGGTGAATACTGAGAACGGACTCTTCTGGCTTGTCCCAAACTTTGTTTTGTTTTTCTGCTATTTCGTTCGCTTTACACATGTCCACTGCTCTGGTAAGCGATAAGTCCTGCTCTCGCAACAGTCTTTGACGTAGTTTCTTGTTCGATATACCATACACTATCTGATCTCTGATCATCGAGTCTGCCAAACTGCCAAATTCGCAGGTCTTAGCCTTCAACAAAAGGTCTCTGTAGAATTGCTCAAACAGCTCACCTTCTGCCTGCTCTCGCATCCTGAATACGTAACGCTCGTACGTTTCATTCTTCTTGGGAGAACAGTAGTTATGAAACATTTCCACCACGGCCTCGTAGGTTTGCTCCCCCTCGACGTTGAAGGTGTCGTAGACTTCCACGGCCTGCTCCCCGGCAACATGCAGCAACAACGCGATCTTCTGTCCATCCTTCCTTTTGGCGGGTGGCTCCGTAGCTGTCATGAATATTTCGAACCGTTGCTTGAAACGCCTCCAGTTCTCAGCAACGTTGCCTGAAAACTGGAGCGGCTCTGGCGGTTTCAGTCCTTCCATTGCTGAGGCTACCGCAGGGCTTGCGATGACGTTCGAACGACTTCTGACACCATGTATCGGTCAGCGAGGCATGCGGTTCAGCGGGTATGAAGCAAGTTCTTCGTCTTTATTGTCGTCTCTCACTCAGTGTGGCGGTGGCGCTAGTATCAAGACTGTTACATTTTTGTTACATGACGATGCAGATGCCGGTGACATCATCAGTGATGATGACGATACGGATGCCGGTGACGTCATCAGTGACGTCACTGATGGCGTCATCAGTGATGATGACAATGACGATGCGGATGCCGGTGACGTCATCAGGGATGATGACGATGACGATGCGGATGCCGGTGACGTCATCAGTGACTGACGTCATCGGGGGTCACATGGCCCCGGGGGTCACGTGACTTGGGGAGCCACGTGACTTTGGGTGTCACGTGACCTTGGGGGTCACGTGACCTTGGGTGTCACGTGACCCCCAAGGTCCTTGGGGACCTTGGGGAGCCACGTGACCTTGGGTGTCACGTGACCTTGGGGTAACATGACCTTGGGGGTCAAGTGACCTTGGGATGACCTTGGTTACGCCGACGGCGACACCGACGCCGACGGCGACGGCGACGCCGCTCAAGCCGGGAACGGGCCCCTAAGAGCTGCGCTCTAAAATAAACTCGTTAGCCCGGGCCATCCCATCATCCGTACAGTTTTCACTTTATGTTGATGATCTTCAGATATCCGTATCATCCTGTAACATTGCTTTCTGTGAATGTAGGATCCAATTAGCAGTAAACAATCTGCTCAAGTGGGCTGATCAAAACGGCTTTAGGTTTTCACCAGAGAAAACAGTTTCTGTTTGCTTTTCTCGCTTACGGGGAGCTACACTAGATCCATCAGTGACCATGCACTCCACCCCAATTCCAACAAAGCCGGAACAGAAATTCCTAGGGCTTATTTTTGATAGTAAACTGCCCTTTCTTTCTCATATTAAGCATCTTAAGGTAAAATGCCAGAGAGCACTAAACATTCTTAAAGTCCTTTCTCATACCTCATGGGGCTCTGATCGTCTTTGCCTTCTCCGAATTTACAGTTCGGTGGTTCGCTTATGCCTCGACTATGGTAGCTGTGTATATGAATCGACAAGATCCTCAGCTCTTCGAATGCTTGATCCCATTCATCACCAGGGATTGCGACTGTCTACAGGTGCATTTCGCACGTCGCCTATCCCCAGCCTTTATGCAGAGACAAATGAATGGTCTCTGAAGAAGCAAAGGTTTGCTTTGGGGTTTATGTATTCCCTTAGAATACGTTCACTCACCCTGCATCCTGCACGCGAGGCTGTAGAAGAAACAAGGTATAGGCGCACCTTTGACAACGAGCCCTCTGTAATCCCGCCTTTTAGTATAAGAAATGCAGCTGCAGCAGATTCGGTTGCACTGAGCCCGTGACCCCCGTACCTCAAGCAATAGCTCCGTGGGAATATAGCCTCATTTTTTTGTGACTTTTCACTGACTAAGTACAGAAAGAAAGACACCCCACCAGAATGCATCAAACAGGAATTTTATGAAATCCAAAGTAGATATGCTGGACACATCTTGTATTACACAGATGGCACCAAGACAGAAAGGTTCGTTGGATGTGCTATGGTTGGCCCCTCTGCTCGCTATGTTCAACGAATTGCATATACAGCTACTATTTTAACAGCTGAACTATGTGGTATCCGCCTGGCAGTTAATCATATTATAGAAACGAAGAGCATGAAGTCAGTCCTGTATACTGATTCACTCAGTTCATTGAGAGCGCTTTCATCACTAAATACCTCTAAA